ATTGGAGGAATATTCCGCACCATCACAGTAGTGGATCTGGGTCTGGGCACCGTTGCCAGCCATTGATATCTTCTTTCAGTGAAGCCATCGTGGGCCAAGGTAATCCTCAGAAGTAACACAGGGGTTTCCTTCAAGAGTGTGGAGGCCGCCGCTCTTAGGTTGGAGGCCATCGCTGGTAGGTTTGTTTGGTTTCACTCACTGAAGCATCACAACTCTTTTGAAATCCATCCTGCTGATCTCAGTTGGCAAACCCTCTGATCCAGTCGAATGTCTGCCAGGCGCTGATCAAGACGACAAACCAAACCACTGCCACATGGAACCAAAGCATCCAATCCTCTCTTGGCAAATTGCCAATGTCCAGCCGACTCAACCAATCCAGCCGATTGTGTGATTCTGTGCTTGCCACAAAGTGCACCGGTAATACGACCGCCAAGAGGAATGGGCCAAGGATGGTCATGATGCGCAGATTCAACCGGACAAATTCCTGAACTAATTTGGTTGCAAAAGAACTAGTAGTAACAAGAGGCTATTAGAAACAAGTGCCTTACTAGTAGTAACAAGAAGCTCAAGGAACCAGAGGCTGTACTCAAAAAGCTATTAGAATTAAATTGAATTATATTTCTTGACTTGTTTCTGATAGCTTCTTGTTACTACTAGTAAGGCACTTGTTACTAGTAGCGATGCACTTGTTACTAGTAGCTTAGAATTGAACGTTTGGCACGTGCGGAAAAGTTTGGTCAAGGCACGAGAAGAGACCAGCCATCTAATCCAGCGAGTCGAACCTCGTCTTCAGGCGTGGTGTTCCACACCTTCCATATGAAGTCGATCCATGGAAGCCCCGTTGAAACCTGGCCAAGTCGATTGAAAACAACCAACAAAGTCGACCAATTAAATGTGGGCCTCCAAGTGGTACTCCTTTGCATCTGGGTCTTCCTGTTCACCTGCGTTCAAGATGCTTCTGTGACTGATCTAAAATACATGCACAAATGAAAAACGAGGACAGTGACATATGTGAAAATGGTTCGTGCCGCACTCGCACACTGCACCACTCAAGACTGGCCCACAGTAATGTGAAAGTTCAGACCCAATCGCCACCAAGAGACTTTGCCACCGTCTGTACACTTGCGGAAATGCTACATGAAGAATAGCAAAAGCCAGAATCACTCCTTCGGAACTGCGAAGAACTATATAGTAGCTACTACAAGTAGCTACTGAGTATTACGTAGTCTGCTCGGATGCCATGCAGCAGTGAACATACTACTTGATTGAAGCATCCAAATGGTGGGAATTCTCACAATTTTGCTGCGTAGTTAGAGTCGGTGGAGCTAAATACTAGTAGCGTCCTTGCTCCTAGTAGCGATGCCCTTTGTTACTAGTAGCTTCTTGTTCCTAGTAGTAAGGCCAGGAGTCCCTAATTATCCTTGCTCCTAGTATGCCTAGATTCAATTCCACCTACGTGGACATGGACTCCATGGCTTCACCAGGGCCGTTTGAGCGTTGTTTGGGGCATTCGACTGATGATACCTTGTTGATATGAACATATAATGCTCATAAACATCAGGTTAGGGTGGGCTGGCAATGGCGTTCGGTTGGATCATCATCACCATTTCATCCGCTCCATCGTTCAGTTATTGACTTCATATTTATCTTAATTTCATGAACTTCATCTTCGCTACATTGCAGCAACTGCAGCTTCGTTTCATTAGCTTCATCTTCGTTGGCGTTAGGACTGTTAGGAGTTTTGCAGCGAGAACTTTGCTTTTAAGTACGTATATAGTGTTCCTAAAGATCTAGGAACCAAACCAACCGTGCGAGCTCTTCTGCAAGGAAGTTCCCCCCGCCCTCAGGCGGGGGGAGCTTCCTTGAAGAAGCGTGAGCTATACTGTGTCCATATGTAGTAGCTTCCTTGTAGTACTATCTACCGTTCGCTTCTACTAGCTACCGACTCTCTAGCTAACCTACCTCTCTCACCCCTATTAGCGGCCTACCCCAACCCCCCCTTTAATTTGTTGAAAAAAAACCTTCTTTATACGCCCTTGTTGCGAAAACAAAAACCGTGTGGACCCTCTCTAGATTTGGCCTTTGGCCCCTCGCACACCAATCAACAAATTAAGGATTGCATTTTCCTCCTTCGGAAAGCTCACTACGCTTGTTCAGTCCCCCGACAGCGCACTCCTGCTGCACCAAGCCCTCCAACAAAGAGCGAGGTATTCAAGGTTTGAACATCTCGATCACCATTCAAGGCTACTCCCATGACCTCTGCAGGCTCTTCTCCAACGGCTTCATTTCGCTTTGACAAAGGTATCTCGCTACTAGTAGCGTCCTTTGCTCCTAGTAAGGCCAGGAGCCCCTAGTACAAGTAGCGTCCTTGTTCCTAGGCAAGGCATCTCGCCAAGCCTTCCGAGGTTCCTCAAAAATCTCCTTCGCCTTTGGGGGGTGCGCTGGATTCCTCGGAGGTCGAGCGGTGAAGCAAAAAACATAGTAATAAGATACTCGAACAGCATAGGATGTTTCGGTGCATCTTGAGCCAAGAGTCTCCCGCTCTGCTTCTACCTGAAACGATCTTTCACTGCTTTGAAAACTGCTTGCAAATGTAATCTCTCACTGTCTTCACTTCACTCATCTTCACTCCAAACAGGCCACTGATGGTGCCAATGTGGCTGCTTTGGTTGGTAAAGTCTCATCAGATGAGTTTCCTTCGTGCCTGCATCAGGCATGAAACGGGGGAGACAGCCAGGATAAGCCAGGTCACTGCAGAAAATCTCAACCAGTTTTGGTGCACTGGTTCCTAATAGCTTTGTTGTTACTAATAGCTTCTTGCTCCTAGTAGCAAGGCCAGGAGCCCCTAGTACCCCTAGTAGCGTCCTTGCTCCTAGTAGCGATGCCCTTTGCTCCTAATAGCTTCTTGCTCCTAGTAGCGATTTGGAATCTTGCATGACTTTGGCCTCTGCCAACCGCTACTATGTCTAAATGTCTTGTCTGTCCCTCACCAACTGCGTTGGCCAAACCTCCTGCCTCCGTGGAACTAGAGACTTCCAATCTGAATGTGTGCTTGGCGACTCATTCTTCTGTGGGTACCTATGCCTTGGGCGCTGCGCTTGGTCCAATTCAGGGCAGTGGCACTGGCAAAGGAGACACATTGTGTCAAGATGCAAACTGCTTGGATATGCTCGGAGGGCCTTACTCTTCTGGTCCTTATGGGAGCGAAGCCAACAAACAACACGAAAGTCCATTGAAGACCATGAAAGACCGGGCTGAAGCAACCCTCCAAGGAACCTGAACAAAGCTTCGGTCAATTCCCGCTGAGGCAACCTGCAAGAATCCGGATCTTTCAGGACTGTGCAAGAAAATCACAAAATGATTTCAATGAATTCGTTCTAGTAGCAACGGTCTCCAGCCTAATAGCGATGCTCTCCAACCTAATAGCG